TATATAAACAAATCGTTACTCAACAACATCAAGTTTAGTTGTATTAGTTAATAGGTAATAAATGTGCCATTTTCACTTGACTGCATTGTACTTCACAACGGTAATGGTTTGGAGCCTTCACTGTATTAAAATTTTTCATGTCTTATTTCAGTAAAATGGTTAAGGAGTACCCATATTGTTCTACAATTAAACACTAAACTTCTTTGCTGATTTCCTGACTTTTGAAAAAATATTGCAACTGAGCCTATGTAAGCATATTCATTTTAAAATGTACAATTTTTAAAACGTCGTAATTTACAGTAATTTGTCAGCAGAAGATATTTTTAAGAATAGAGGAAAAATATGTTTGTCATTTTATTTCGGTAGTGGATATAATTTGTTACAGGACGCTTTGTCGTAAAAATGTTATTTAAAATAAAATGTGTTTGTGTGCCCGACATGTTAACCTTTTTTCAAAAAAAGAGAGGTAAAAGTGTGGCGACCATACGCGAAACGGCACTTATTACAGTTAGTGACCGACGGAATTATGTTCCTTGAGGGGACGCTCTCGGAGGTGCATTCTACCTAGGTCACGCCACCGGTGGGATAGGTATAAATAGGGAGTGACAACTAGCGAGTTTAGTTTTTCATTACAATCAAATTGAGTTGATTGTCGGCGGTTTTCTTATAAAGCTTTCCCTTGTAACGTGCCTATAGGCATTTAGTAGTGCTTATTACGTTTTCTTTGTAAAAGATTCTCTACTTATTATATCACCTTATTGTGTATAATAGGATTTGAATCGCTTCAAGTAGTATATCATATTTGTTGTATAATCTAGTTTGCGAGCAACAAACTAGTTAGCAATAGGGGTAATATCGCACGCGTAGTGATTAGTCATTTCCTCTTGTTTGTAGGTTTAGGTAGGTATACTACAACTGAGTAGCATTCTTCCTAAACACGAGAGTTGGCATCTGTCCAAGGCGAATCGGTACATAGAAGGCTTAAAACTGGAGGGAGTCTTAAGCAAGAAGTAAAGTATCAAGGTAGCTACAGGTTGGTGCTGTAGGTTCAAGGACTGGTTGAGCTTACAGTAGAGAGAGTAGTAGAAAGGTCTCATAGGACATTGTAGGAGAAAAGCTGACGAGGGCGACTCTTCAAATTTTTGAATTTTGTATGCAGTCACGACAGAGTGAGAGGGGAGAGGCAATATTAGGACAGCAGTACAGTCTTTATGAAAGCTTTTTTGCATGTAATGCTGATCCAGTGAGTTTTTATCAAAATTTTTTTAGTGGCAATTTACATAAGCTGATGGGTCTTTCGAAAGGGCAGGCAACAGGACCATAAACGGACAAACTTTCCTCTCAAATTTTATCACTGTATTTCCTTAGTGATGCATATGGACAATATCTTTATTCATATCTTCACACAATTTAATACCTTCTCTCAGCATAAGCAAATAGAGGAAAAAAACAAAACTGAGGCAAAAAGAAGTTTGTAAATGACAACTGAATACATATTTAACTAAAAATACGGAGGGGAAACACATGAAGAGATTAAGCAACAATCTGAAAGACGTTAGTACAAAAAAAAATAATCATGTTAGAAACATTCTTTCAATCTAACACTTTTTTTCATGCCACCAAGCGTTGCATATGACTTATTACAACGTAGTAAAACAAAATAAAACAAACACAAAAAAAGGAAGAAAAAACAAATAGTGAATTAAGAATTGACAATATGAATGAACAGGAAGTTACAAGCCTTTAAATCAGTTCTTGCTTGCGGTTTTACTTTGTTTTTCTTTTCCATAAAAAAATTAGTAAATCTGACAGTGAAAGAAAAATTAAGTGCTTACCCAAAAAAGAAAAATAATAAAATAAAAAAAATATTATCAAACGAGGAACCAGCAAATTGTCAAAATAGAAATTTGATGTTTAAAATAGTTTTATTGCGCTAAACTTAAAGCTGAATCTGGTGTCTTAACAGAACCAATTATAACTGGAACAATAACATCAAAGGTATGCATATCTAACTTAAAAAAATAGCTTATCGTTATAAGGCCATTTGCTCTGGTGGACGTCGGTTGAAGTCCCGGCGGAATGGTAAAGTCAATAAACTTCGTCTCGGGTCCACTACCTGGACTAGCTTTACAGGTACCCTGCAAGAACTGTTCCTTCAATTAGTCAGTGTTGCGTGTATCAGATGCTGTGTTATTAAGTATTATAAAGCATTTTAAACAACTATTCACAGAAGTTAAGCGATTATACTACAGAATAATTTATAGTTTCGAGTAAGGATGATTAATGTTGAAAAAAAGACAGCATTAAGTTTTGGATAAAATTAATTGAAATAAAATGAAGTTTTGAAATACAGTATTTATTTCGTTATACAATTAATTCTGGATAAATTTTGTCGTTTTCTTTGTGTTTGTTATTAACTTTTTCATTATTTAAGATTCGGTAGGTATTTGGAGAAGAAGAATATTTATATATACATACATGAGATTCAACAGCAATTGTGAGCGATTTTTTGTCATAAAGATGGAGCTCGTATCGATTCTGTGAAATAAAATCAAGTTGTTGGCATAGAGATATTAAAACACATTCACGAGCCATATCTCGTCGTTTTTTGAACTTCCGTTTTTTGACACCATTTTCAATTGTCAACGTTATTTGCACAGTTTCACCTGAATCATTTAGGTTAGGAGGATAGTTCAAGAAGTTCAAGCTTTATGGCACAAGTAAAACTGGTCAGGTTTTACAAATAAAATAACACTGCTTCTTTTTTATTAGCTTTAAAAAAAGAATAGTTTACAATAAACAGTTTTAATAGTCAAATGTTTGCTACCCGGAAGAAGGCCCATATCGGCTACTGTCATTTGTGCAGATACAACTCCAAGTTTTCTTTTACAACAACAACCGGTAACAACTGCTTCTTCACGGCTGCTAGCTGGTTGTCTCATGTAAGGAGCATCCAGGTTCAGCACCGAACATACCGAGAAATTACGCTCTAGGAAAATGAAAATAAGTTTTAAAAGCCAAATACGACAAGTTACTGTTTTGTTGGTGAAAAATTTAGAATAACTTTCATTTTCTTTTTGTTTTTTCATTTGCTTTTCAAAAGACATTACCTTCAATTGTAATAAAAATACACCGTTAACGTGAAAATTAGTTGTCACTA